GAGAAAAGAATTAGTAACGATTAAGCGAAAGTTTGAAATGATTTTGTACGGTACTGTGATTGCTTTGAAACTCTTCTCTTCTCTTCTCTTTTCTCCTATTCTCTTTTCTTTCGTTTAGATCGTAAAAGTAGATATTTTTCTTAGGTGTTATCGCATCGAAAACTCGGTTGTTCGGCAATGACGTAGATATCATCTATCTGCGTCGGCTCTGGCAAGCTCTCGTGAGAAACTTTAACTTAATAATAGCTGGACAAGCTACTCAAAGTACCCGAGTACCACCAGTAGACGCTCTTATTAAAACATTGGCTTCGTGCACTTCAGAAAATTGATTTAACTCTTAAACAGGAACGCGTTCTACCACCGGCCGCACCGTAAGCGGAGTTTGCTGAACATTTTTTCTCCTCCGAAAAATAAATGCTGATTAAACTTTTCTTTTCTCTCGCGCGCGAACACAATGTGTTTAATAATAGGTGAGAAAGGTTCGGAAGTGTCGAGGGAGAGATAGAGGGAGAGAGAGAGAGAGAGGGAGAGAGAGAAATGAAAAAGAAAATAAATGGCCGAAACGCTGCGAGCGTTTTTTTTCGATAATCGAAGAAACTACTCTTCTTCTTTCGAAGGACTCCGAGAAATGCTAGCTACGATTTCTATTCTTTACGCAGCTTCCTAAGGGATGGAAAAAAAGGTTCCCTTCTGATAATCGAACTCGACACTCGATTATTCTTGATCGTCGCGGAAGAATTCGGAAAAGGAACAAGAAAAGTAGCAGAAGCCAGGAATGTTTAATACTTTTTCTTCTTCTCTGCTTGTCAATGAAATAATACTTGCTCGTAAATTACGAATTGCCTTTATCTCGTTGCCCTCCTTTTTATTATTCTTCGATATTCCATAATGAATGCCACTTCTTTTTCGTTTGTTTGTTTTTTGTTTTTTTCAAACAAATTAGCTTCGCATAAAGAAGCAACCTTTCCTTTTATATAATTATAATTAATATTAGTTATATTGTCCGTTGACGTAATGATCAATTAAAACGTTGTAAAAGGTAAGGTTTAATGAGTGCACGAGAGCGAATAATTTATGGGTGGCAAGCAACGCGTGCAAATTATGAGTCTTCCACCAAATAGTAGATAATATATTCGAAACGTGCGAACCTTTGTGATTTGCATGAATGCCCATGTATAATAACCGATATATCAAAACTACGTGCATTAACTTATATCACGTTTTTCCATTTTTCTTCCTATTTTTCAAAGAAGGAAATTCGATACGCATGAAAATGTCTTCTGACGCGAACTGTCGCAAAACTTAAATCCCGGTATTTCCGGTGAATATCGCGTTGCCACGATAGTTTCATTCACCGAGACCGCAGATAAATCCAATTGGATCTACCTAAGGGAAATTGCGTTTCTTACTCCTCCTCTCTCTCTCTCACTCTCATTGTCAATTCGTTGAAATTCGATTTTCCATCGAAGGGAGCTATCGGACATCGGGTTTTCCTTTTTTTTTTTTTTTCGTTTCCATGAAGAAACCAATGCAAAAACTATGGAAAAACGAAGGGTATAATACTATCGGATAATCCTTTCTTTTTCCGATTATATTCGTTTTTCAAGCCGTGACACTTTGAATGGACTCGACGTTCGAGAATGGACTCGCCGCCGTCTATCGTCTAGCAAAAGATACGACAAATATTTGTAGCATTTTTCTAAAGAAAAGGATCGGAATTTGCGAAGAATGCGAATGTCCGGGTTGCTTGGACGAGGTTCGATTATATTAGCTATTAAATCGTGATTAGTCCGAGGAAACGGAAGAGACAAATAAAATTTCATCGATCGGTCCTAACGCTTTCGATCTAAACTTTCCCGTAGGAAATGATCGTAGGGTTTCGAAATCGGTTTTCCAACGTAATTACTTTAGTCTCGTCTGTTTTATTAAAACTTTGCGATGACCTTAGTCGAAGGTTTGCACGAACTGTTCGGCTGTTTCTAACTCGAGAGTCTACACAATGGCATCGATACTTTTCTTCCTTAAATTATTTACTCGGGGCTCGAGAAACTTCTCTTTTATTTTAAAGGCGAGAACAAAAATAAAAGAACAAAATAAAACGCAATGAAACAAACGCGCATTGCCTTTCCAGATGATCCGACCTTTTTATTTTTTATTTTTCCAGTGTCTTCCGTAAAACAATACCTTCGATAAGGGACGAGTGACGATTAATCGTATTTTACAAAAATCACCGAATCGTACAACACATTAGATACATATTACAAAGAATAATCTTATATTCCGCGATTGTTCAATTACTCAACGTCGTCTTCCTAAAGTTAAACATAACTTTTTATTGTCGCGGACTCATTTTATCGATGGCTAATGAACGAAGGGAGAGGAAACACAAGATAAATAATCTAAATATCAGTGACAATCTATAATAAAGTCTAAAGAAACAAACGAGAAAATGACGAGTGTTGGAAGATAAGAAGAAGAAGAGGAAGGAAGGAAGGAAAGAAAAAAAGAAAGAAGGAAGATGCGAGACGCTAAGATTTTATCGGCGATGATGATCCTTCCGCTTCTCGGGACGCTAGTCGTCTCCGGAGTGCAGACTTGGGGATCGACGATCGGTCAAAACGAAATTCGCGAGCGATCGATCGAAGAAAATGTGAAAAATAATCATTTGCCGAATCTGACCATCGGTTTGGTGGTGCCCCACACGAATTTCAATGCTCGCGAGTATACGAAAACGATCAATCGAGTGGTCAATAATCTTCGGAAGGGTCACACAGGAAGGAACAAGGGTCACGGGAGATTCACGTTTTTCGACAAGTACGCGTTCACGCAGCACCACGTCAAGAATACTATGCTGAGACTCACGCCAAGTCCTACAGGTAAAAATTACGAATGATTTCTTCCGCCCAAAGAAATTCAAACGTTAAGGTAATCGTCCGCGTCAAATTTAAAACGAGAAAGATACTCGAATACTTTTCTCATTTTCTTTCTAATCCTTTCCTCTTAATTCCTCTTTTCTTTTTTCTTCCATTTTCTTCTCTCTCTCTCTTTCTCTTTGTCGTCGCCGAGAATGAAAGTTCGAACAGGAGGAGGAACTCGACTACTTTTTCTTTATCTCGTGGCATATCCGAAAGATCTCCTGACCAGCCAATATTTCAGGCTTAACTCATACCAAAAGGTTCTCGACGTTACCGAGTTTGCGTCCCTGTGTTTATTTACACGCTCGAGTTACTCTCACCCAGTATATACGCCAAATGAAATTTCCCTGTAAATTTCATCCCTCCTCTTTCCCTCTCCAGTCCTCCCCCTATTTTCGTTAGATCCTCTCTCTCTCCCTCTCTCTCTCAACATCCAGGTTCGCGTTTAATGCACGAGTATATGGATGCGCGCCAACAGCCAACTCGAGATTCCATTATTTTCCTTTTATTTTCCTTTCATTTTTCTAGTTTCTCTTTCTCTTTATCTTTCCTAATGCCTCGCGTTTGCTTGACCATTTTTATTTTCTTATCGAACATGACGGGTGGGAGTGGAGGGGTAGTATGTTCAATGCTTTTACATCGACAAATTAGGAACGCACGATCGGGAAATCGTTCGACCGTATCTGACCGATACACCCTTCCAAGTACGTTCAAAATAGATACTTTATTACATCGAATATAATCTTTCCTACTCTCCCTGTCTTCTTTATCTTCGGCAGCCGAACCTATGATGTCGAAATTGCTTTCACGGTTTAAGGCTTTAAAGCTTTTGCCAAAGGAATCTTTTTTGAAAACAACAGTTGCACGATTCCAACGAAAGAGGGAAAGCAAGGGAATACGCGTACAACGCTAGTATCTTCCAGAAATTTGTCTTTTTTTGAAATTCTTTTTTCCCCACCCTCAATGGCTGGCAGGGATTTAGAATAGCGACGATATTAAGTTTTACGAGTGAGTATTTAATGCACAAAATACTCGAGCACCGAGGCGAAAGTCGAAAACTTTTGCGGAAACTCTTGGACTCGTTGTGTTTGGTTTTGTCACGGCACGTAAACTCTTACCAACGACATTTTAGTTCCCGACAACTACGATTAAATAATTCATGCATTATCATAACCACGAAAAGTTGAAATTTTCGTCCATCGATATTTTCTTTCTTGCGTACGATGCGCCGCTTGTATTCCACTCCCTTTTCGGAATAAGAAAAAAAAAGGAGGAACGAACTACGGAATCTCGTTATGGTATGCATTTTTGATGGGGTAAGGAAAATGAGAAAAAAAGGTAGAAGAAGGACGAGAAGAAAGCGGACGGCGAGAGTATTCGTTTGTAAAGAACAAATAAAAAGGTGAAGAGACCTTTGACAAGAGAGAAGAAAATAGATAAGTGGACCGAGGATAAAGTTTTCGAGTAACGGGATGAAAACGATCGAGTCTCTCGTGGCAGGCTTTATACTTTATCGTAACGATCGATAAAGTTTCTTTTGCTCATCGAAAAGTGTATAGCGGGATAACGTAAACTCGGATGAAACGTAGATAACTGGGAAGAATCAACCTACCTAGCTAGCAACGGTGTCGCGTATAGCTTTTTCAAGATCTCTCGAGTATTATCTTCGATCCGTTATCGATAGAACGGAATCGTTTAAGTACTACGTATGCAAGAAAGTACTTACCGAAAGAAACTAAAGGGAAAAGAGATCGGACGAGTGTGGAACGTTGGCAAAACGTTGGAGTCGAACGTGGAAAAGAGGTCACTCGGTCATCGCATTCGTGCCTTACGTTTGAGACCCTGGATATCGAACTAGTTTCTTCGTTGAAACTCTCTGAGCGCTAGCTATTTTCTTTTTCTTTTATTTTCTTCCCTATATTTTTCTTTCCTTTTTCTTTCTCTCACTCTCTCTTTCTCTTTCTTTCTCCACCGCGAGAGAAAGTTTTCTTTACCGAGTAGTAAGCACGGAGGAAGGAGTAAGGAAAAGCTCGTAAAATCATTTTACAATTGGATGCTAGAATCGAGCGTGAATTTCTGTTACAGCAATAATGAATTCCCTCTGCAAGGATTTCCTGTCGTTGAACGTATCGGCTATTTTATATCTGATGAATTACGAACAATACGGTCGTAGCACGGCCAGCGCTCAGTATTTTCTTCAATTGGCCGGTTATCTAGGGATTCCCGTTATTGCTTGGAATGCCGATAATTCTGGACTCGAAAGGGTAAGTAGCTCTCTCTCTCTCTCTCTCTCTCTTTCTCTCTGGCCATCCATCACTATCCATCTACTATCTCTCCGTGTCTGTTTATTTCAGCGAGCCTCGCAGAGTAATCTGCAACTACAATTGGCTCCTTCGTTAGAGCATCAAACGGCTGCTATGTTGAGTATCATGGAACGATACAAGTGGCATCAGTTCAGTATAGTTACATCGCAAATCGCCGGCCACGACGATTTTATTCAAGCGATAAGAGAACGAATTTCCGAGATGCAAGATAGATTCAAGTTTAACATATTGACCACGATACAGTTTACGGATCCGAGCGATATCATAGAATTGGTAAACAGCGAGTCGAGAGTCATGCTTCTCTACTCGACTAGAGAAGAGGCAACGCGAATACTCAAGGCGGCGCAAGATTACAAAATCACCGGGGAGAATTACGTTTGGATCGTCACCCAAAGCGTCATCGAAAATCTTCAATTTGCCAGTCAATTTCCGGTTGGGATGCTCGGTAAATAAGAATATTTTTTACCTAGACTCACTCGTCGTCGTCGTCGTCGTCGTCGTCGTCGTTTATTCTCGTTCACAAAAATTTTCAGTCCACGCCAGATTTCTTTTCATTTTATTAAACTCTACAACATTTCTTTTTCCATCCGAAAAACAAATTAAGTATTGGGTTAAGTATCGGGATCTTGCCGCGCGTGCACGGTATAACGATCAGTACATCTTAAGGTAATCTTTTCATCTCGTTTTCTTTTTCCTCATACTCGTCTGCATTCGTACGCGAAGGCGTGCATTTCGACACCAGCAGCGAGAGCCTCATCAACGAGATCAATACGGCCGTCAAAGTTTACGCCAACGCTGTCGAAGATTTTGTGAACGATCCCGAGAACGCTAACCGTAGTCTGGAGACTCAACTTAGTTGCGAGGGTGCCGGGGAAGCTCGGTGGAAAACGGGCGACTTATTTTTTAAGTAATCCTTCGATATCTGCTAAGCATGTATCTTATGTTTACTTAGAAAGAAGATGATGGTTGCTCATACCAAAGTTTTCTAACGCAGATATTTGAAGAACGTGTCGGTGGAGGGTGATCAAGGAAAGCCAAACATACAGTTCACTCAAGACGGTGTTCTTAAGGCTGCGGAATTGAAGATTATGAATCTTCGTCCTGGACTTAGTCGGCAACTCGTTTGGGAAGAGGTACGTATCTTAAATGATTGATTCAGCGCAAGATTTTTCTATTATAACGATAGCAAAGTCGGATAAATATCGTGAAATATTTTTGATAGTAATTTAACTGCGTTAACCATCTACGAGAACTCTTGTTTCTAACGATAAACGCGAAAACGAATAATTCAAGGAATCAAGGATTTTTATGCATTCTCTACGAAGTTAGGTTGTAATACAATTTAGCTCGAAAGGGTGGAAATAAAAAAGAGATTTTACAAGAGAGAGAGAGAATGGAAAAATAGGCAAGTGCATGTGCGCAGGTGCCAGCAGCTTTCTATTTACATGAATTCTCAGCACCGTTAATTCGACCTTTTCGTTCGCTTAAACACATTACTCCGAGTGCTCGGGAAATCCTGGCGATAAATTCATCTGTTTGCGTGTATGTGGGTATGAGGGAAAAAGAGAGAAAGAGAAAAGGGAAAAAACATAGGAAGGATTCTCATTGTTCTAGTCGTAGGAAAAAATCTATTAGAAAAAGAAAAGCACGAGGGCAAGAAGATAGGTATTATATCTCTATGCTTGAACATTGATTGAACGCGATTTTTTGCATATTGATTGCGCGAATGAAAGAGAAATAGAGATGGTGGTAGAGATAGAGATGGGGATAAAAGGGTGAGGAGAGATATCTTGAAACAAAAGGATATGTTCCTAAAGTGAAAAAGCAATGCGAATGCCGCAGCTTTGCAACGATATAAAGGAACAATGGTTTGGAGCGTTTTGTTCCGTCGCGGACAAAAAGGGGTGAGAAATTTTCCCCTTGGAATCTGTACTTTTACACTGGATTTCTCTTTATGGATACATTACATCGGTTGACAGAAAAATGACCCACAATTGTATTGCGTTGTCAAAAATATTGAAACGAGAATGAAGGAAAAAAGGGCCTTTCCTCTTCGTTTACGTACTTGGAATATCTTATCGATTTGATTCAATGAGCGTTATTATCGGGTTCTCCGAAAACACAAATAGCATTCAGGTGCGGATATCAATCTCCGAACGGAAAGCCGCAAGCACCCTTCGTTTCGTTTCTAATTAGATCCTCGTGCAGGGTTGACATCAATGCGAATTATATCAACGTTCTACTCTCTCGTTTGATGGCCACTAAACGCGTTCCTATCGATCCTACGTCGAAAGAATTTGACTATTGCTGCTGCTGCTGCTCTTTACGCGTCGATTCAATTAGGGAATCATTATGAACACTTTATCTTTCCATTCGCTCATTTATTTTCTACGAGGGAAAAAAGTATTCAGATGCATTTTTCAGACTTTAAAACACACACGTTCGATTATTTAATTTTCCACGCGTAGTATTATATTTCATAATTCTTGGATCATTCTTTAATTAGAAATAATTCATATGTTATCGTTCGGTTAATTTTGAAACTAATATATTTTTACTTTGATGCGGTCAATTCGATGTCGATAAAATTATACGTAAAATGCGAATAATGGGATAGGAACCGATGGAACTTTACGAGTTTTCTGTGTCAAGCATGAAACGTGCGCTAATCGTGCAAGGTCGAGGCTAGTAATTAATCGGTTATCGGAAATAGCGGACGCTTCGATATTCTCTCTCTCTCTCTCTCTTGTTCAATACACCGAGGGCGAGAGAGTTAGTACGCGTTTGCACGTCGAACGTTGCCTAGTATGGACGTCTAATTAGCAGAATTGTTCGAATTGCGAACGAGAGAGAATATCTCTTGTTCTACAGAATATTATTCGCTAATTACGAAAGCGTTTCGTCGATCTTCATCGTCTTCGTCTTCGTCTTCGTCTTCGTCTTCGTCGTAGATTTTTACTTTTCCTATCGAAAAATAGGTGAAAAACGACTTGTAGAACTAAATCGTTGGGTCCATTCCATCGCGTGAGAATGAATATTTACGAGACTATTAGGACTCGGTTTGCCCCTATGGGTCTCGTTCGCATTTCTGAAAAATCATGGATTCCACACCTTGGTGAGTTAATGTTAACGTTGGAATAAATGCATGAATATCGTCCGTTTATCTTCGAAATGGTAGGTAGATCTTTTAAAAGATCGTTGCAGTCATCGAAGAAAAACCCAGAGAGAGAGAGAGAAAGGGAGAGAGAGAGAGATTAGGCGTCGTCCATAGAGATTTTCATTAAAGGATACAAGCCATAATACGAATAACAGAGGCCATTAATTTCCTAAAGTTTTGTTCGTGTCGACGCGACGGACTGTCATCGAGCGAAAGAGAGTATGCGAAAAGTTTGAGCAGTTCCCTTTTCGATAAACGAACTTTAGATAAAAATCGGCAGACTTTGATGGATCGAAGCAAAGTGAAGGAAGAGTAGTTAGACGATGACGGTGTTCTAATCTCATTGAAGATGTAATTAAAACGTCGCAGTGAAGCCCGGGTAAATAGGAAAATTCAATGTTTCGTCGCGGTAACCTCCGTAAAATACATAGTCAGTTTTACTCCTCTTTCCCTTCCTTCAGCAAATAGGACGTCGATGCTCTTAATTACGTTCTCGTCATGTTCGACGTTATTTCGATTAATTCCTCGTACTCGCGTGTCCACTATCCTTGACGTTTCCGTTCGCGTTTAAAAAGGCCTGGCTCTCTCTCTCTCTCTCTCTCCTCGTCCCGTTTTCGTTGCTATGCTATGGGAAAAAGAATGAAATACGAAAAAAAACTTATACGAGCTTTCATTTTCGCGTGTAAACGAAAGGAGAATCCTCCTTTCTACTTTCCATATTATCACTATTATCGCGCCGCTTCTTTTTTTATTCTCTCATATAGGAGATAAAAAAAAACACGGAACCAACGGAGGCGTTGGTTGTGCTGGTAAAATCTCTTTTAGCGAACGTCCGTCAACTTGGTGTCAGTGCCTAAATGAAAAAATTCATGATCTATGAGATGTATTTGTGTGGACGTTGGGCTATGTGTGTGTGTGCATGCTTGTACCTAGCGTATATAATCGCGTACAGAGGGTAGGGAAAAAAGTCTCGCGAGGGTGGCAACATGCGTGTTCATGAATTTTCATGACCGAAACATTCTAGCTCGTCGAATTTCAAGGAATATCGAGTTCCAATAAGCGTGTGTCGAACGATCGTCCCGCAACGATCCCGTTGCGTCCGTCGAAGGAATAAGAGGACAACGCGAGATCCACTCAATTTCGCATATTCAAGGCTTAACTCTGTTTTCATCGGGACAGTGATCGAATTGGATACGTTTGAGCTATGAACCGACGATGATAATATCGGTTAGCGTAAGCTTCGTCAAACGTCAAATTTCAAACTGTCGGACGGCTATCTATCCTTTCTTAATCCGAGGTTCACATGCGCAATCCTCTTACAAGAGGAGGGTTCCTTTGATTTAGGAACAACAGTTCCTCAAGTGACAGCCGTTTAACCTTCCTGGTAGAATCTACTATCGTGCCTAGATACGATATTGGAATCCGACGGTCGTACATACACGCTTAATTACGTGTACGTGTACGTGTATGGGTTGATTTTGTACGACGAGCCATTATGGCTGCCAGCATAAATTACGTACATTCCAAACGTTTCGTCAAACATATCCCGTATTTCATTAACTACCTCGACAGGAGGAGGACGAGGAGAGCTTCGTTTAACCCTTTAATCTTCTTTCTTCCTTTCTCTCTCGACAGATCGGTGTGTGGAAGTCGTGGAAAAAAGAAGGATTGGACATAAAGGACATCGTTTGGCCGGGTAACACGCACACGCCACCTCAAGGAGTACCGGAAAAGTTTAATCTGAAGATAACGTTTCTCGAGGAACCACCGTACATCAATCTCGCCCCACCCGATCCTGTCAGCGGAAAATGCTTAATGGATCGTGGTGTTCACTGTCGAGTAGCCAAGGAATCAGAGTTTACCGAGTAAGTGAAAACAATCTTATCAAAGTTCTAATCTTGTTTCTTCTTTCTTTTTCTTTTTCTTTTTAATTTTTATCTATTATATATCTCTTTTACCAAATTTCCTCATCAAGATAATGAAAATGAAATGCAATTGAAATTGTAAAAGGCGAATTATTCCTCCTTTGAGTAATCCAAGGATCCCTCGGGTAAATCGAGCCGGTTCGAGATGCACATAGGGTTTAATGTGCAACAGGGGCATTTTTTTGTTAATATTTCAAGAGGCTAGTTGTTTCTCTTAACTCTGGCAACTTGGAACATAACTAAAGAGAGTTAGGGCTTGTAGTAGTTTATGGAAAATTAAGGTGAAAGCGGAGGAGGCCTTTGAGAACGATTCGAGCGCGGGAAAAGGAAGGAGAGGTTTGGGGGGGCTGGAGGTTTGAACGTAATAATAGCGAAAGAAGATTGGGTTAACCGACTAACGCGTCCATCGGGAAGAATTTGTTGAAAATTGGAACGTTTCCTCGATCAGAAGACAAATATCCAAGGGAAATTAATGATGATTGAAAAAAGACAAGCAAAGCCGACTGACGCTCGTGAAAAATCGATACAATTTAAATTCGACCTAACGGGAGAATTCGAACTCCCTCCTCTCTCACGGTCAGTTTGTTATTTTTCCGTTTGTTATACGAACGAAAGCCTACTCTACATAGACGTCATACATCGAATCGACGTTATTTCATTTTCCTCGGTTCGAAACAATTTTAACGCACGGTCTTTCGTTAGCTAAACGTGTACAAATATTTTCATCGGAACGGTGTTGTAACCTGCACTATATGTACGTTTACGTATATGTATGTTTCTCCCTCGAGAGACAGAATTTATAACGTACGTTAATATATATTACATGCACGCTATACTATGCAAACGAAAAAAGAAAAAAGAAGAAAAAAAAGGGAAAAACTTCGTTCGAAGAAAATCGAACGCAGATGATTTTTCTTCTCTTACTTTTTCTCGTCCGGAAAAACGAAAGGAAAGGAAGAAAAGCAAACGAACGGTTTTATTTTCTTCTTTGGTTTTCCAAAATAAGCGGTATCCCACGGGAATCGACAACGGTTTCCCCGTAAGTTAGGGGAGTCAATCCCAAGCGAGTAATCCACATGGCAGAGAAAGTTTCCTAAACGCGTTTAAGGGCTGTACATTTGCCAGTATCGTCCCCGTACGTTAACCTGCTAACCAGAAGCTTTATTCTTTATCCTTTCGGCTTCCATTTCTCTTTCATTTTCGTTTATGCAATTTAACGATATAATAGCAAAGACTAATATTTTCTTATCAACAAGAAATGAAATGCATTTTCGGTAAATCCTCAAACGGAGCACGCACACATATACATATTAGGATTATTATCTATAATTGTAATCAATCTTGAAGAATTTATTAACCGATGCAGATATTATCACCATTCTCGATTAATAATGAATTATTTGTACTTTTCCCTATCTTAGGGTTCTCCAAGTCTTCTCTACGGTATCGTGCGCGAAATATTTATTGCTTTCCTCGATACAAGTTTTAAGCATTTAACGAAACGACATATTTTTCTCCCATTCGACCATTTCTTTTTATTTACGAGTGTCCTACGAGCAGCAATAAACGTCCGTATGGATCTTTACGCGTCTATCCTTTGGTACTGTTGCTGGTTCGCCAATGGGTCCGCTGTAATTCGAGCGATACTACCCGATGCAAATGTAAGCTTTAAATCACCTCCCCCCTCCCCCTTCCGTCGCTCTCCGCCCGCTCCTCTTTTCTTTTTTTTTCTTCCATTCCCTTTTCAAGAACAACTGCCGTACACTTTTCTTTCGCGTTATCGTGCCTTTTACTACGAGTAATGGCTTTTGCTACTTCGCTTATAAATAAGTACCTACTTACGTATCTGCACGCAGATATAGCAACATTCGTTAAATGCTATACAACAAATTACTTCTTAGCGAACAACTTTCTTCTATTTTTTGTACCTTTTTGTACCAAGAGTAGAATTTTTGAAATACAGATCGAAATAACAAAGTTACCGATAAATTTTCCATAACGAGAGATAATGCGTTCCGTTCCAAATTCAGTAAAATACGCACATACACATTTTTAGATATCACATACATAGTAATATCAAATATTCTTTATTTTTGATACGACGATAAAATTTTGACTCGTTTCAGGGTGGACATTCAGTCGGCACAAAAAAACGATAGTTTTTTTCAATGCTGCAGCGGATTTTGCATAGATCTGTTGCAAAAATTTTCCGAAGAGATAGGATTCACCTACGAATTGGTCAGAGTGGAGGACGGCAAATGGGGTACACTTGAGGTAGTAAATTTGAAAAAAATAAAGCAGTTAAGAGAACGACGACAACGACTAGTACGATAAAATCATTCGAAAATTGTTCCATTTGAAAGAAACTTTCTTTCTCCATGCAGAACGGAAAGTGGAACGGCCTTATAGCGGATTTGGTAAACCGGAAGACAGACATGGTAATGACGTCCTTGATGATAAATTCCGAAAGAGAGGCCTTCGTGGATTTTACCGTTCCTTATATGGAAACTGGAATAGCCATCGTCGTAGCAAAACGTACTGGGATAATATCACCCACTGCTTTCTTGGGTGAGTTCATTTGCGATCGCGCGTCATAGTTTCATTTTTGTCTTTTTTTCTTTAAAAAACAAGCAGGTATATTTATTTTACTTCTCGTAATCGATGATTTCTCGAGAAAGAAAAAGAAGACAGAAAAAAAGAAAAGAAAAATACTTTCAGAGCCATTCGACACGGCTTCCTGGATGTTAGTGGGAATCGTTGCGATCCACACCGCGACGGTAATGATACTCCTTTTCGAGTGGCTGTCACCGTCCGGTTTCAACATGAAGGTAAAACCTTCGGTCGCTGCGCGGAAACTGGTACCTTTTATTTCTGCTTCTTACTTTATTCTTATTATTATTATTATATACTTTTTACATCCTTTCGCACAAACTCTCTCTCTCTGTCTGTCTATTTTTTAAACTCGTCTCTCGCACATCGATGTGACTCTCATCGTCAACGTTCTGGAATAATTCGTGCATACCTACGATTGATTAGTGTGTATGGCTGTATTGTTTTTTTCGCATGTACCTACATATATTATTACACTCTTATCACGATTATTATTATTATTATTATTATTTAGTATTATTGTTATCGTAAAAAAGAAAAAAAAATGAATTCTTAAGATATGACTATTTTGCACGCTTGCCGCCTTTATTTTTCCTCCTAGTGGAAATATTCGCACGAACGTAAAAATATTTTCCTTTGGTTATTTCAAATATTTAGACAAATCCATCGCCGAATCATCGGTTTTCGTTTTGTCGCACGTACTGGTTGGTCTGGGCAGTACTATTCCAAGCAGCAGTCCATATCGATTCTCCCAGAGGATTTACAGCCAGGTTCGTGAACTTACAAATAATCGAGATAATTTAATATAACGATCGAATCATCGAGCGAACATTAAACGAACCCAATTACTTAAACAGATTCATGACGAACGTTTGGGCGCTATTCGCTGTAGTCTTCCTGGCCATTTACACTGCCAACTTGGCTGCCTTTATGATAACGAGGGAAGAGTTTCACGAGTTTACCGGTGTCGACGATCATCGATTGGCCAGGCCGTGGTCGCACAAGCCTATGTTCAAATTTGGCACCATACCATGGAGTCACACCGACAGTACGCTGGCCAAATATTTTAAAGAGATGCACACTTACATGAAGGCCTTTAACAAGAGCAGCGTTGCCGAGGGAATCGAAGCTGTCATAAGCGGGTAAGTTCAAGCAAAACATCGTTCTCGTACCGCGAAACTTCTTCTTACAAATTTTTCTTCGCCAACGGAAAAATACTTGAGACAAACTTTATCCACCTTCGTTATCCTCCTATAGAATATCTAGCAAATGTTCGAAAAATGTTTATGTCGCACAGCGAAATGGACGCGTTCATATACGACGGAACAGTCCTCGACTATTTAGTGGCTCAAGACGAAGATTGCAGGCTTCTCACGGTTGGATCTTGGTACGCAATGACGGGATACGGTTTGGCATTTTCACGAAATTCAAAGTATTTGCAAATGTTCAACAAACACTTGCTCGACTATCGGGACAACGGTAAGGAACTCATCTAAAGTATAATATTGGTACGACTACTACATATATATATATATATATATGTAATCGACTACGAACAGGTGATTTAGAACGTTTGAGACGTTTTTGGATGACGGGTACCTGTAAGCCGGGAAAAGAAGTTCAGAAAAGTAGCGACCCCCTTGCGCTCGAGCAATTTTTAAGCGCTTTCCTATTGTTGATGATGGGAATCCTCTTGGCAGCCGTTTTCCTTCTTCTCGAACATCTATATTTCAAATACGTGAGACAGCATTTGGCTAAAAGCGACGGCGGTGGTTGTTGCGCTCTATTCAGCTTGGTAAATATTCTTCCACTTTTTATTTCGTTGTAAAATGAAAACGAATTAATAACTTAAACTTAATTAACGAACCGAGACCAATTTTAACTTTTGCAGAGCATGGGAAAATCTTTGACTTTTCGCGGTGCGGTTTATGAGGCGCAGGACATACTCAGACATCACAGATGCAGAGATCCAATTTGCGACACTCACTTATGGAAAGTGAAGCACGAGTTGGACATGGCCAGGATCAGAATACGACAGCTCGAGAAGGATCTCGAGGCGCACGGAATAAAGCCCAGTCAGACCAAGTACGTCTTATGTTGCTACCATCTAGTTTTACCTAACTCGATTCTCTATCTATCTATCTATCTATCTATCTATTTCTATCTCTGTCTTACTCCGTTTACCCTAAGAAGGAAAATCCACTCGGCAGTTACCCGCATCGAGTATTTGCATTGCGATCGAGCAAGGACTCTTCCAACGAACGAGTCGAGTAGATCCTTCCTACGCTTCGTTCCGTTTAGATTTCTCTCTCTCTCTCTCTCATCTTTTGATCCAATCCTCTCCTTCTGCCCTGCTTAGTTTTGGTCCAGGAAGTTCCTCGCTTCCGATCGCATTCCGGACAAAAGCTTTCGTTGTCGAATCCCGCAAAATTCCTTTTTTCATTTGCACTCGACGATCGGTTGACCTTTCCTTTTATCTTCCTTCAATTCCTATCCCTTTTCCCTTTTCCGATTTTAATGGTTTCTACGTTTCTCGAGTATGCTCTACTTACATACCTACTCTTTCTATTATACTCATATATTACACGGAAAAGGTCGATCGACGTCTATTTTATTCCCTTTTTACTTTTCTCTCTTATTTTCTGTCACATTCTTTTTCCTTTTTTTTTTTTTTTTTAATTTACTCTCTATTATTTTTTCTTGTTTATTTTTGCAGAACAATACTCGCAAGCTTTTTATCTATCAATCTATCGACAGTATATACATCGAATCTTTGCTCCAAGTGCTTTTTATACATATATTTTCAATTATTCTACTTGAATTAATCCTTTCGTTATACTAATGACTCATATACTGGTCGTTCATGCAAAGGTCCCATATGAATTATATCAACCGATTCTCCCCATATATATATATAGGGGTCGAAGAATTTTCTATGGAACGATACGATACTCGTGCCAATGCATGCTCTAACGAAAGGGTTAATCTTTATCAGTACACGTATATCTATATACTTGATCGTAAAGCCAAACTTGATTCCCGTATTATTATTATTATCATCTACGCATGTAAAGCTCATATAGTCGAATTGATTCTATCTTGTTTCTAGCCCGAGAGTTGAAAATTAAAAAAGAAACCAAAACAAAAAAATATATATATATATAAAACACAATATATATAATACTCTCATGTCACTCTTTTGCTGAATACTTAGCTCGCACCAGCATGCACGCGCGTATTTTCCAATATCACCGAATTTTTGTTACTCGAGTATGTACACATGTATATACTTACACCTGTCTCTTTGCGTAATCTCGTTTGTAAAATGCATCATATAAGAAAATGAAAAACAAAAATCCAGGCGCGTGGCTTTTAACGATTTCGTTTGAACACGACGATTGCGCTAAGTTTTCTGTTGTCTTAATGATTAATGAGAAAGGATCAAAAAGAAAGAAAAGAAAAAGAAACATTCTCAAGGGATATAAAAATGATAGCAAGAGAGAATATTACACTTCGTTAAGTTTTCTAAGTTAACTTTCTTGAAAAATTACATTGCGAACTAGTCTCGGTATTAAATTTATCTTTTATTTATCGAAAATTAATAGAATCGAAGTCCGGAGTTCGGGATGTTATCGATGAAACAACGAAGATTTCATAAGAACGAGGAAAGAAATAGCTTGAAAACGGAAAAGAATTCGGTGAGATATGACGAGAGAAAAGAAGGGTGGCAGGGGTTGAAGGTAAATGGTAATGCGGAATAAAAAAGAATAAATTCTTGTCTACTCGCGATCCGAAAACTTTTCTTACGCGGATAGTTTGAAAAAGAATGGGGAGAGGTTTATCCATGTTAGTCCATCGGATCCGGGAAGAGGAAGGGGCGGGGTTGGGGTCTCTTTTATCGTGTCCATGCTTTTCGTTTGGTAAAATATAAATGAGAAATTTCGCGAAAACGAAATATCTTTCGTACGGTCTATAAAGATCGAAATAAGATATATATATATATGAAAAGAAGAAGTTTTGATAAAGTCAAGAAAAATGATAAGACCGGAGAGATCGAAATTGAGAACGCGTACGGAACAAAAGTAAGAAAGTAAGTACGAGTCAGGGTTGCGCGGATAGTTTCGTTTCGTTTCATTTCCCAAAGAACTAAAAAAACTTTTATCGTCGAAGTTAACGTCGCGTGTCGCAAAACGATAGCAAAAGATATTGTAAAGGAATCGACGAGGACATAAGATTGCTTTCTCTGATGATGATGATGATGATGATGATGATGATGATGATGATGATGATGGAAAGAGACCTGGCGCAATATCCTGGCACATATCCTGGCACGTCGGCTTTTTTAAAGGAGGAAAACCGGAAGTCTGGCCTGGTGGCGAGGATGCTTTCAAAGTTCGGAGCGGCAGCGACATCCGGAACCATTGACGGTCGAACCGCCGCATCCGTTACCCCCATACATCGATTCGTAAGTCCGCTCTACGAAAACAACAACAACAACTACAACAACAACAATAATAATACAACTACAAAAAAAGTAAAAAAGAAATATGTGATAAGAACATTAAATAAAAAAGATAAAGATAATTAAAAAGAAATCGAAAAATAAGTAACGAATCTAAGGTCACGTAAAGAAGTGACGTAGGAACCTTCCGCCAACTTCTTTTTCTTTTTTTTGTTCTTTACTTTGTTCAAAATCACCGCTTTTTTGTCGGGAGAATCGAATATTGATCAGGACAGTTCCTACGTTACCAACGACGAGTCTCGGACGTGCGTTGCGAACGCGACATAATTTGTCTTGTTTTTTTTTTTAATTTTGCAAGAAATATGCAGTCAAATGAAAAAAGAGACTTTGTATGTATTTTTTTTCGACGAGGATTTGCAAGAGACGATTTCAAGGCGTTCTCCGAGACTCGGAGAGGACTCCCCGAGAGCCCGATCGTAGATTAGCTGCTTCGCTTGTAGAGATTGTTAGATCTTCTGCATATATGCATTCGAATTTTTATCTCATATATATACACACATATAAATATATTCACACTTTCTCATATATATTTGTACTTTATCACGAAACTATATTTTTACACTTCGATGTGTTCGTAAAGCATGAGGCATGCCAGTTAAAAAATGACAAATTCGAGAAATCGGAGATAGATTAGATAATAAAGAATTGGCCCATAACGAGATGGGTCCATTCTATGTTGGTCCATTCTATGTCGGTCCATTCTATGTCGGTCCATTCATCGAACGGAACAAAGATGTATCGTCTTATTCGTTGGACCGTGTAATTGGTATCTGTATACGAGTGTGCATCCGCGAACGCGTGGGTGTACTTGGGGGGGTTGTTAAAAAAGTAAGAAAAAGAAAAAGAAAAAGAAAAAGGAAAAAAAAGAAGAACATTTATACGCATCGAAGAATTCAACTCGGGAAGCAACGTTTCTCCTCTCACTTTTGTCATCATTTTTTACCCAGGTTCATCGACGCGGTCGAGGTTGCCAGGCCGAGAGATATGAGCACCAACCATGTTGTAAGCACCGAGTACGCGGAAACCTTTTTACCCACGGAGATTTACAGGTTGGTCATTCGTCCTATCTTTTCTCTTCCTTTCTATTCTCATATTTTCTCTATTTAAACTTTTCAACTCTTATGTCACACACGCTATAAAGTATTAAATATTATATAATATTATTATGATACCATCACATTTTTCTACGAGAATATATTTCTTTTCCCGGACTTTCATTTCATTCCTCTTTTATTTTTTTAATTTTAGAATTCCTGGCGCGGAAGGGGTAAGAACGGAAATTGCAGAGATGGAAACAGTTCTGTGATCGTAAGAGGATCGGCCTAGATCGCCCAGACGTTAAAAATCAATTCAAGGAAGCAAGCAAGCAAGCAAGCGAGCGAGGAATTCAGAAGGAAAGAGAGAAAGAGAGAGAGAGAGAGAGAAAAAAAAAGAGAAAGAAAGAGAGAAAGAGAGAGATGTTTTTTCTCTTCCTCGATAAAAATAAGAAGAAAGAAATTCCGTCGAATCCACCACGAGCATCGAATTGCTTCCTTACCTTCTGCCATCGCGGAATCACGGACGACCAGTTCTTTCGTCTCTCCTGCGAAGGTTAACAAGAAGATTTTTCTAAATCTCGGAGCTCCTTCGCAAACAACAGGAGGAGAAGGACCTTCAATTTTACAACGTTTTTTGCTTACTCTTAGGGAGAACAAAACGTATATATATATGGTAAAACAAAAAGAATTAAAATGAACAAAAAGAGAGAGAACACGATGAGGATGATGTTTGGGCAAGGTTCAGTGCCTAATTAGCTCCTCGTATTAGTTCGCCGATAAAGATAAATAATGGAGGTCCATTTGAAACCTCTCATTCTTTATCACTCTCTTATATTCTCTTTCTCTATTATTATGCATTATATATATATATATATCACACACCATACATAGACACAGACACAGACACAGATACACACAGATATTTTTCTTTACGATTAAGTATCCTTCTATATCCCTTATCCTCTTTCTCATTCATTCTCTCTCTCTCTCTCTCTCTCTCTTTCTCTTTGTTTCTCATTTTCTATCCTTCTTTCTCTCTCTTCCATCCGGAGATAAGAAATTTTCACGAAATCAAATACGGAGAGGTTGGAAAGAGATGAAATGCTGCGAGAATAAATTGCGAGACCTTTACAATGCAAAGAAAAAAAAAAGAAAAAAAGAAACATTTGATGAAAATGAAAATAATGAATAGAAAAAAAAAAAGAATTATTATTATTATTATTAACATGAAATATATTCTAACACGTACCGTGAAACGTACGCGCGACTTTTTTCTCGGTCCTTTCTAAATTCAATTTGTGCCTACAAATATCAAGTACGATACTAACGAAGGAGGAAGGAAGCCCCATTGAAACACAGGTTTTTGCAACGAGTGATTACAAGGAGAAGGAACGAATAATTAATCCCTTCCCAAAAACAACAACAACAAAATATAAAAGAGAAAAAAGAACACGAAAGAAAACAAAAAGATACAAGGAAAAACGCAACGAAATAATTCTTCGATTTTCATTGTCCTTTCGTGTTATAACGGGCAAATGTATTTGAGTGATGGCATTAGACCGCGTAAAGGGTGGATGCTATTTAAAATAATCGTTGCGCGGGGGGAAACTGAAATGAATTAATATTATTATTATTATTATTAGGGCAAAGAAAAAAAATACACAATCGGGCACCAACAATGCAATAGATAGTTACCGAGTTCTTCTCATTTTTAAGAAGGGCTATTTTAAACTTTGTATAAACTCACTACCGACCACTGTAACATACATACACGCATACACATACACGCGACACGTAAGGTAAATACGTAAGAGAAAAAAAATCATACACATATATACGTACATCCAAATTCACGTACAAAGAAAAAAACGACGAGGCCGTATAAGAACGCGACGCGAATTAATGAAAAAGAAAAAGAAAAAAAAGAGAAAGGGTAGTTTATCCCAAAGAGAAGCGAGTCCTATGTGTATCCTACGAAATTGTAGATCGGATATCTGCGAGTGAAAGAAAATAAAATAAATGGAAAAAAAATTAATATAAAATAAAACAAAAAAATAAATAAAAAATACCATGTATGTCGGTTAACGTTATATTGTACATGCATCGATATTTAATAATTATACATATAGGGATATTATATACGTGCGTATTCATACTACATGCATAAGTTACTTCCACGTAAAGTGAGAAAGATAAAAGACAATTAATTTAAAATCGATGAGACGATGATGTATTGTGGAAAACAATGAAATATTCTAAAAATAACCTTACTTTGAGGACGTAATAACGCTCGACGAAAAAAAATTAAAAAATTAAAATACATTTAATAAATATAATTATAAATATATATATGTATGTAACGCGATGAACGATATGTAAAGTCAAAAAAAGAAAAAGAAAAAGAAAAAGAAAAAGAAAAAAATGAGAAATAGGGGAGAAAAAAGGGTTAATACGAGTCGTGGAGCGTCAGGCGTCGTTTGTTCGACGAATTTTGAAAAAATTGTCCAAATAAATGAACAATATTCTAATGTAAGATGGCAAAGTTTGAAAATGAGGGATAGAAGTTGAGATGATTGTTCGATTTAACAAAAGAAAAAATCCCCCGACCACCCGCCCGCTCCTCCTCCCTCAGACCCCCTCAGGAGATGAGAATAAATATTTTCTAACGCGTAATTTTGTGCCTGAAATATCAATTTTCGAGATATAATTTGTAAATGAATCGTCATATTTTTTAGATCATATCAAAAGAGTCCATCATCTGGTAGCATTGTTCGCTTCGACGTTCTGACGCTCCGACAAATTTTTTGCAAAACGGTAAACTATACATAATATATACACACACGAATAAAAATATACATATATATATATAAGTAAATGATTATTAATCGTAATTAAATAAATGAAAAAAAAGCGGTGGGATTAACGTGCGTGCTGTCAAAATAAAACGTCCCGCACGATCGTAAAATAATACGAAAACAAATATAATTAACAGAAGATAATGAAACGAATAGGGGGAGGATAAATAAATGATCCTAACTGGCAGGACGTTTTTCGTTAGGGGGGGGAAAAAAAAATAAATATAAAGTGAGATCGAATATTTCCGAGGCGCTTTCACTAACTAAGTTTTTCTACTTTCCAAGTGTTGCATAATTGCCGGCAAGTGTATGCGCATATACCGTACGCATCCCATCAATCCAAAACCGGAAGCGGAAATGACGAATGGAAAATGTTAACGATCATTTTTCTACGATTTTCTTTCCCTTTCTCGGAAGAGAGAGAAGAAGGGAGAGAGAGAGAGAGAGAGAGAGAGAGAGAGAGAGAGAAATAGAAGGAAAAACGGTCGACGTTGAAAGTTCAACTTGTCGGTTTTGAGAGATTAGGTGTATAAATATGTTTAATATATATATATATAAATATACATACGATACGGATAAATATAATTGAAAAAGAGAGAGAAAAGAAAAAGAAAAAAGTATAAAACGGATTAAATTAAGATAAAGTAAATTAAAGTAAAGTAAATTCAAGTAAATTAAAGTAAAGTAAAAAAAGAAAAATAAAAAAATAAAAAAAAAATGAAGTGCGCGCAGATGGGAGGAGGTCCTAGCGCCAAAGACCTATCCCAGATAACAATCTTAGAACACGTTGTTACTGTTGTTGTTAAAGATAAAAGGAAGTGTTATGTTGTTAAGCGAGGAAACTTGATCGCACGATGATAATTATCTCGCGTCGTCGCGGAGTACGAAATAAGCCGTCTTCTAAAAGTCTAAAATATAAAGCTACGCTAATTATTCCTTAAGTTTTAAGAAAAATACAAGGGAAGGAAAGCTAATAATTATATATAAACACGCGTTGCGAAACAACCATGCGCATAAATCATGGACACACTCGTGCATACAATAAGTTTAGATTAAAAAGCGCGAATACCTTTATTACCTTTTCTTCTTTTTTTTTTTTTATTGTAATATTTATTTATCCAATCTCTCCTCTTCTTCTCGCTTGCGATAATAGATCGATCGTATGAGACGTGTTCGACGTAGGAGTTCTCTAAGAGAACTGCCTAATTTGTTCCACCACGAGACAATGACCCCCCATGCGTATCACACACGCAACGTACACGCAGATGCACAAGCGAACCTAGCGCACGCACATGCGCAGACTCATATCCGATCGATCGATCGATCTATTTATTTATCAATCTGTCTATCTATCTATTACCTTTGTCTACAATATACCGGTATAATTTTTTGTTACGCTTACCTTGTTAAAAAGAATTTTTTCTATCACGCTTCTGCCTTTACCCTTTTTATTCTCTTCACTTTTTTATCGTAGCACGTACATTAGTACCTGATATGTGAGATAACATTTAACAAAATAGGAGATACGTAATCGCAACTATGTCGTAAAAAAAAAGAGAAATCAGCGAACGAATTGTCAATCATTTTCTTCCTCCATCCGAGGAAAAAGAATTTTCTTCGATCTTCTTCTTCTTCTCTACGTCAAAGGAGATTCTTTTATTGGAACGGTGACACCTAATTCTTAACGTTGCATGAAATATTACAATGCGATTGATGGAAATTTGATTATTTCGATGAAATCAAAGTAGTAGGAGTCACATCAACGCGATCAATTCATTTATTCGTCCAGGGAAATTGTTCTCCGATTGATTTATTATAGCTCGCGACGTTTCCCACCCCCGTCCCCTTTTGTCTTTTGTTATTTACGCGTAAAAAATACAAATCGCGCGCGCGAGGATCGATACGATACAACGAAGAAAACCGGAACACGCGTTGCTCTATTTCTATCTCTCTCTCTCTCTCTCTCTCTCTCTCTCTCTCTCTCNCCCCCGTCCCCTTTTGTCTTTTGTTATTTACGCGTAAAAAATACAAATCGCGCGCGCGAGGATCGATACGATACAACGAAGAAAACCGGAACAATTATTATCACATTTCTATCTCTCTCTCTCTCTCTCTCTCTCTCTCTCTCTCTCTCTCTCTCTCTCTCTCTAGCTCTCTCGTCTCTCTGTTTTCTCATTTTCCATTTTCGAGAATACGAAGATATATCATTTTTCCAATAAAACAGACGCGACTTTCTATTCATCTTTCCTCTCAATCAAACTCGAGTGTGTCTCTCTGTCTCTGTTTTTCTGTCTCTTGTTTTATATTACTATTAAATCTATTCGACATTACTTATATGTTATTATTAATGTAAATCCATATGTGTGATTATTATAAATACATATATACATGACATATACATTTTACGAATGGATTAGAAAGAAAAAAGTATAAGGAAAAGGAAAGAGAGAGTACGTCGTATTCCTCGTTGTATTGGTGTAGTCAGAAATTATAAAACTAAGGTGAAGAAATTTTGTGCCAAGTAAAAGAAGAAAAAAAAAAAAGAAAAGAAAAGAATCGTCGTACGAATTATGTCTCTAACGGCAAATCTATAATATCTCTTGTATGTGTGCGCGAGCGTGCGTGTGTATGACGTGTGGGTGTGTGGGTGTTTAACATGTACATAAAATAAAATCTAAAATACGGGAACTATCTTCCGACCGATTCGAACTTTTCGTTCTCGTCGTCTGCTTCTTCTTCTTCATCATCTTCTTCATGATCATCATCATCCAGAGCCGATGACATAGGAAGACTCGAGAAGAATGAGAGAAACCATAGGAAAATATTAGAATAGTACGATTGTAAAAAGAAAAAGAGGAAGAAAAACTAATTGTAAGTCGAGAAACTTTGTCGACTATCAACCCCCGTTGGATGTTCCTTCCCAATATTTTCCCCGTTTTCTCCCGTCTCGAAGAGAATATAAAGAGGAAGAATAATAATCTGAAGAAAAAGAATGGATTGTCAAATACGTCATTTGTTGTGATACACAATGAATCGTTTACAATATCAGGTGGCGTTCGCGGATTGTGGAAGCTTTGGTTCGGAAGAAGAAGAAGATGATGAAATCGGAGAGGGGAAAGGAAAAAAAAGAAAAGATGATGGAAATTGGACGATGAAGAGAAGATAGCGATTAAAAAAAGTAAAATAAAAACTTATTTCTACACGCGTACTCCGTTGATCGATGCACTTTTGCGAAATGTACGAATGGTAAAGGCTTAATAAGGAAACTACATGGGCACGTAATTATATGTTGTTTCAAATAAAACATTGTTGTTTTGTATACCTACAGCGCAGTCTCATTTTATTCTCCACAATTAATCTTACAATTCCTAATTAACTTTTGATTCGACGCTAATCGTCGAATTTTTCGATTATGCTCGATGACGTTATCAACGGTCGCTCGCGCGAATTTATTGATTTTCGTTAAGAAAAGGAAAATATGTAGTTTCCTTTATCGGCGAGGATAGTCGCTTAACGCTAACGTATCGACGCAATATCCCAGATGTCTCTAACGTGCTTAATATCGGACTAATATCAACCTAAGTAGTATACACCTAGATATATCGTACCGACCCTAATTCAAACTTCCAATTGCAATAGCAATTTCGATGAGATGGCTAATAATGGAAGACGTTTCGACCGTATCGGGTTATTATCTTCGACATATTGTCTATCAATTGGTTCCCCAACCCCATCTTTCTATTTTTCATCTATCTTACTTGCTATTAAGAAATCTTTTCTAACGAGAGATCGAACGATCGAACGATAAAAAGTTCGTAGCTCGCGTTTTCTTTCTCGATTATCCTTCTAACGAGATAAAAAAGTTAGGATTTTCGGTGTGTGCCGGAGATAAAGGATTGAAGAAAATAGATAGAGAGGAGGAAACTTTCGGTTCGTCTTTATCGTGACGGAAACGTTAGGTATAAACGTCGTATAATCTAAGCGAAAAGAAGAGTGATCGACGGGTCGTTTGTTCGCCGAAGATTTCAAGCGGAACGAAAGGATTAAATTAAGAGTTGGGTTAAACGGACGCTCCAGTTAAATCTTTTTAAGTGCGCGTCAGGGGAAAACGTCCGGGGAAATCCGAGTTGAATTTTCTTTTCTCCTCGGTACTATCTCGCGCGAGCGGTATTCAACATACGGGGAACACCTTGCAGTAATCCAATGAAAGAGAGAGAAAGGGTTGGTAGGCGACACATGGGAAAGATTTCCTGCCATCCGAATTGCAGTTCGAGTCGTGCGAATATAAAGAAGAAGAAAAAGGGGATGGAGAGAGAAAGAGGAAGAGGAGGAGGAGGAGGAGGAGGAGCGCGTATGTATTTTAGTTTCTCTATGTTATTTATATACTTTACGACTTGTATGAAAGTGCACCTGTATCTCTCCTAAACTCACGTTTATTGCCTACTAAATAAAATCAGCCGAATCGTCGCTTCTCTACCTACCTACCTACGCCAATGAGATTTTTTTTCTCCCCGAAGATTATTATTACGCGTTTTCAGCTAAACCGTCATCACGTGCCGGAGGTTATTCCCCGTTTGAGGAAAAATGACCAAAGTAACGAACAAAAAAATAATGCAACCGAGTTGGATAAAGGATTAAGAAATTTGATAGAAAAATTTCGGTGCGAGATACAGAGACATAGCGGATCGAGGACGTTACTCTCGTTAATATCGTAGCTGTTTTCTCTTTCTCTCTTTCTCTCTCTCTGTTCGGTTCAGTGCCTCTCCCTAGTGCATTGTCTCGTGGAAGAGCGAAAAATCGACAGAACCACTAATTGGTTCTGTCAATCCGATAGTGGGGAGAGAGAGAGAGAGAGAGGAAGTAACAAACGCGAGTAAGAGAGACCTAAACCTTTCCTAGCGTCGACGTAACACCCCAAACTCGTCCTCCTCGTGTTTCCATTTTTACCAAGCGCGTCGGAGTCCAAATTTCGTTAGGTTTCTTTCTTCCTTCGGCTCTTTTTACCCCTTTTTGCTCGTCAAGAACTCGGACGAGACGAGCAAAAAACAAACAACCACCGTAACTTCTCCAATTAGATACGACCGTCGCGTTGCGTCCTGTCCTGTCCACTTTTTTTTTTCTTTCTTTTTTTTTTTTTCACCATCGATGGATACGTGCTGCATCCCGAATGATTAAAAAATAGGCGAAAGAAAAAGAGAGAGGTACGAGAATGCGCAAATTCAAGTTCAAAAAGGATCGTTACTCTTTCACCGGAGTTTCATAGAGCAATGCTTTAAATTACAACTCGCGTTCCTATGAAAATACAACGAGGTTGCATTTACAGGAGGTCGCCTTGTATTTTATTCGCCAACTCGTTCGGCTTCCCACGCTCTACCCATCATCCATCCATCTCTCTTTCTCTCTCTCTCTCGTTTTCGCACTTTTCCTCTCTCTATCTCCGTCTCGTTCGTTCGTTAGTACGCTTTCGCTGATAAAAAAAAAAAAAAACAAAAAAGAAAAAAAGAAAAAAAAAAATAGAATAACGTTACTCGCGTAATATTTTTTTCAACTCGTCCGCGAACCACGAGAGATGGCTAAAATTCGGGCTTTCAAAGCGACCATTATTGTTTTGTCATTACGTCTGGATTTTATTTGCTACATCGAACGAACTCGTCCATATACTATATGCATATACATATGTATCCGTCTATGCACGGTACCTGCATACACATATATATAGCTTGGGTAAGGTGAAAGGCAAAAGCAATGCTTTTTAAATCAAGTATCTATCCATTCGCATGTATCTATTTCGTATGTACATAAAACGCTTCCCAGCATGTTCTCTTCCCGAAAGAACAATAATCATCGTAATCGTCATCTATTCTTTCGACGATTTCACCTTAATTAAAGACAATAGGAAAACAAAAAAAAGCGGTATGTAGGATAACTAAAAAAAAAAAAGAAAGAAACGTGTAAAATAATGTAACCGTGACCGTCGCCGACGCGTCTCGCTTCGCGTCCAGCAGGAAACTTTGCTTCCACTTGAAATAAACTTTTTTGTTTTTCAATTATAACTCGATAACTCGAAACGTCGAACCGATGAGTGGCCGCTATTGCCCGATTAGTTTCTTCCTTTTTCTTCTTCTCTCTCATAGTTCGTCTAACTTTAATGTTCTTCTTCGAAGGTCCTTCGTATAAAAAGTGGAGTCAATGAAATAACCTTGTGATAATAATAATTAAAAAAAAAAAAAAAACAGAATAAAATAAAACCAACGAGACATGCACGCACTTTTTTCTTTACACATACATACACACACACGTACACACACACACACACGGATCGTTGAACACGTGAAAACACAAAAATACACGATAAGAACTTCCCTGGCACGGCGTTGACAATAAAATACTCCATCCTGTGTGTTTTTTGTTTTTGTTTTTTCGGTCAATTCGGAAACTCTTTTCTTCTCCATAGATTTCGTTGGAAAAGCCCGTTCCACTCGTTCTCCTTCCCTTCGAGAAGCCCAAGCCTCGCGTCTCACGTAAACGAAACCAAAGTGATCGATGAAGGACCGACTACACACATTCGTGGGAAAACCTTTGGCACCGGGTTAACTCGGAGGAGGGTTTGAAAATTGCCTGACAGACTTCTCCTTCTTTCCATCCTTCCTACTTCCATTTTCGACGTCTCCTCGACGTCTATCCTATTCGTCCTTCTTACCCGTTTAACATGTGTCGTTTATGTGTGTACATGGTGCGCGTGTAATATTTGTATACAGGGAACGAGCGTGTGTGGGTTGTTATCGCTCATGTTACGACGAGCTCATCTTCTCTCTCTCTCTCTCTCTCTCTCATTGCACTTCACAGACGAAGAAAGTTTCGAAGCTGCAAGGACTGTCGTTCCATTTCAACCCCTTACCGTCCCTATTCCACAATTCCAAACAGTGTTCCTCCTCGCCGTTCTCGTATCTGTAAGAGAAAAAAACAAAAGAAAACAAGAACGATCGAGAAATGAAAAAGAAAGTACGAAGTGCAAGCGAATATAAACGTTTTGCAATGAGAGTACTATTATATTAGAAGGATAACAAATAAATGAGGGATGTTATACCGACCGAAAATTGTTCGGTTCGCCGACGTTCCAATTTTCGAACGTGATTGGCCGACCATTGGCCATCCAAAAGAAGGTTCCTTCTTCCGCTTGATCGGTACCAGACGTCCAGAAATGTTCGTGCCCAAGGCCAAAATCTTTGATGTGCTTCTCCAGTCTATCGTTTTCCTCTTGCGATGCTATGCTAGCCAAGTGCATACCGTGATAACGACAGTACTGCGATGCTCTGTACCAGTTTGCCTGTAAAACGTGACAAAACGAAATCGTCAAGAGACGCGTGATGTTTTGCTACTACTTTAACGAAAAAAAAAAAAGATTGCATTTTTTTCTATTAGCCGTGAACGACGATCGAACTTTACGAGCTCTCGAGTGGCACGTTCTTCTTTGCTTGGTAGGTGCGTGTGTGTGTGAAAAGTACACATCTACTTGCATAGAGTTGGGTTCGTTCGGCCGTAACTGGGTTCTCTCGTATTCGCCTTTAAAAACGATCGTAACGTGGAAACGTCTCCGCATGGAATCACGCGACCATTTCGAAAGTTTTTCCTTCTTTTCTATAAGTTGCAACACATTACGGAGGATGCGCCCGATTATCAAGTACTCGAGTCTATCGGGATGCATCTCCGGATGAACTTATATGCGTATACGTATATATGTATATACTAGTTACGAAAGAATACAAATATTTCTCAAGTCATTCGTTCGAATTATGAATACGTGAAACGTCGCAATAGTCGTTATATAAAATCTAACGTATTTCTACCTCTATGAATGCAGGAAACCTGCGAGTGGAATTGCTTACCGAGCGAAGAAAAGTATCATTTTATAGACGGTAATCCAACATTCAAAAGTAATTTTTTTCTATCTAAACATATTCCATCGTAAAAAGCGTAAATTCGTTTAATCCTAATAAGTTTTATATAATAAATTGATTGAATTAACTATTCATCGTTCGTAGATAAAATAACGAACGATCAGTACTTTATTTCTTAACTTTTATTATATAAAAAAACTCATATGTAATAACGTAATAGAAAAATGTATTGTGTAATACGTATAGGAGGAATGAAAAGTTTTGAGTTTAGCGCGTAGACTCGAGAAAAATCGATAAAATATCGTGTAGATATTTGCGGTTATACACGAGTATTACTCGATGCACCGTATAGCGTCACTCGATGTGCTTAGAGATACGGAAATAATCGAATCAAGTTCGGATGGGCTGGGGAGCGTGTTGTTCCTAGCGGTTTTCCTCTCTTTAGAGGACGATGACATCGATGAGAACGCGACAACTAAATCTAAACTAACGCGATTTACCTTGAAAAAAATACCCAGGTAATATCGTTTCTCCCCAAGTTTCAGCAACGGCATCGTCCATCTCGAAGTGCTCAAGGTGTTGCTCTGTTCGTCGACGCAATTTGGACAGTCATCTGAAAAAGAGAATAAAACTAATGTGAACGAATTATAATTACCACGTGAGAAATTTATACGATACCAATGAAAACGATGATTATTATAGAAAGTGTTAAGTATGGTGAAAAAGTTTCTCTCATATCGGTTAACTCCTTTCTTTCTTTCTTGAGACTGACTTGTCTCTCATTTGCATACTTTTATTGCTTTCACCGTCACTAAAAAACCGACTTGATGAATGCATTGCAATTGCGAAAGACCGAAAATCGTTTTTACGTTCTGTTAACTACACATCTCACATTCGTCGTTCTTTCGTTTAATAAAAAATATGATCAAAGTCGACGGACCGCATGCTTTTCGTCCGAACGAATTCATGAAAATCGTTTCATACGTTATTTGTTAATATTATTCTCACGTAAAATTGACTTCAAAGAGATGCAGCACGTTCGTCGTTTGCGACCTACGGTTAATTCCAGTTTTACGATTTTATCCATTCCCAGTTTTCTATTATTTTTCTTCCACGATATAACATCAATCAATTTCATCCCTTATTTAACCTTATTAGTATTTAGTATCTTTATTTTAGTATCGCTTTCTCGTGTTACTAAAAATAAAGATAAAAATGAATGAAATCATAAAAATGGGAATTATTTGTAGGTGGATTGTTAGCAGGTAGATGTAGATAGATATACATACATATATATTTATGCTTCGAATATCATTATTACTTTCGTTTCATACATAATTGAAGAGCACGAAAGCTTGCATGGAGTATCAATTACGCTCGATTCTATGCGTGATATCTACACTGCCGATCTGTAATTAATTTACGACGGAAAACCCTTTAAAGAGGACGATTAAATATCAATTTAATTTAACGGCGATTATCTTCGTACGAGCATAGATATATTACGTAGACGTATACAAATGCTTGGATGATTTTCAAAATTATAATCAAACAGCGTAAAATACCTTTTCCCGTCCGGTAAAACAAGTATGTCGTCCGTTAAATGATAAAAACGTTCTTTCATTTTGCATATATTATTCTTTATGAAAAATAAATGATCGAATACGGTTCGGATGAATCAGCATGCAGAAACATAGACAGAAAGAAATAATGAAAAAGAAAGCTTGCAGTTCTCCCTCCACCCCTTTATCCAAAAGTGGAAATTCGCTTTGGCCGAGCTCAGCGTACTATTCGAATGATCGACATGCTTGGAATTGCAATTGCGTAATAAAAAGGCGAGTCACGGAAAGCTGTTCGAAGAAAAGATTGGAGGAGAATGACGTGTACACCCCCCCTACCATTTATGCGTATATCTCCATTTCTTTGTTGTTTGTTTCTTTCTTTATTTTTTATTAATTTATATATCACAGTATTGTGTTAGAATTGAAAATCTTTATGGGATACTCTATAACAACTGTGGGTTAATTGCAACCCCCAAAGTTACTTCTATATACCGTACGGCTTCAGAGATAATATCGAATTTCGTTACCATTTCTCTTAAAGTTTTACATTAATCATTTATAGTAATACAGTTTATACCAATATTACAATATTTTATACATAAACGGATTATCATTTCAAACGAAATTGCTGTTTAACGTGGTTAGATATTCTACGATTGTCGAACATTTTTAAATCTATGAATCGAATTTCATTCGCGGACTTATTTAGCTACACGCATGTAAAATATGAAAGAAAAAAAAAGTTAGAAAAGACAAAGATGTAAAAGAAAATTAATCGAGAAAGAGAAAGAGAGAGAGACTTATGTTAGTTATTTTTCTTCTATTCCTTCTCCCCGATACAAGGAGAATTCCCTTCGATAAAGTTTTCCGTGATTCGAATCTTCGAATAAGAATAAGAAGAAGAAGAAGAAGAAGAAGAAGAAGAAGAAGAAGAAGAAAGATTAAACGAATAGGAAGTGGTAAAAAATGGTAGCAATTTTCTATCTTAAAAGGGTTCCCTCTTCCCGTAACCCATAGGTTAGAGAAACACGTCGAACGAATTTGTGTTCGTTCGACCGCAGTCAACGGTCGTGACACCAAAGTAAGATTACCTCCAATGGGATTAAATCGAGCGCGTTAATGCGTGCTTTCAAAAAAGAAAAAAGAAAAAACAACCACCACCAACAACAACAAGTGCTCGGATCTTCGCGAAAACGATTGTCAAAAGGAGAGAATAATAAGAAGAAAAAAGAAAAAAAAAAGGAAGAAAAAAGAAGTGGCTAGAGCTAATAATTAAAGCGCGATGCATATTGCATATTTTAATAATTGCTAGGTTAATCTTCGTAGTTGCTCGGCCTACGATCGTTGCATTAATATTCAACGAAATCTTATAACAGACGACATCTCGAGATCTTACTTCCTGTTCCACTTGTTATTCGTCATTGCCGCCTACTCGGTCCTTTGTGGTCAAGAATAAGTACACTTTAGGGTAGATCGTCGCGTCGTGATAAAGATAGGAAGAAAGAAACGGAGTGAAGGAGGACAGAAAGAGAGAGAAAGAGAGGGCAAAGGTAAGAAGGTTAGAGAGAGGGTCGAATAGGGGTGGATCGATTAAGACGACCTTTCTCTATTCCCCTCTCTCTCTCTCTCTCTCTCTCTCTCTCTCTCTCTCTCTCTCTCTCTCTCTCTCTCTCTTCTTCTTCTGTGCTAGCAAGGAAGCGTATTTGGTCTCCGATATAATCTTGGCTAGCAGAAAACGATAGGGTTTAATTTAACGAGCTCAACGATGCACAAGAGAAAGAGGATGGGGTTTATATATACATAGGTACATAGCCATTCGAAGGGCACTCCTTCGTCTTCGAGAAAACTTGATTGCTACCGATTCCCGGTCATCGGTAATTAAATTCCTCCGCGTGTATAAGAAGACGAAAAAAACGCGCGACGCGTTAGAAGGATGAACAACGCATTTTCGAGTACTCGTTTAGGGTCCAAGTCCGTTTAAAGATGGTTAAATTGTAATTAAATTCTCTCGTAATTACTAGCTCTCCTGGCGGTTAAATGGGAGCACAGAGTTTCCTCTCTCTCTATCTTTTCTCACTCGGGAATGATAGAGAGAGAGAGAGAGAGAGAGAGAGAGAGAGAGAGAGAGAGAGAGAAGAGGACGTACAAAGACAGAGAGAAGTTTCTAAACATTCCAGTAAAGCTTGTTTCACGAACGAGATCTACGTATACTCTTATGTCAGAAAATTCCAACTTTGACTGAGAGGAAGAGGAAAATGAAGGCACGCGTCGTTGCTCCCAGCGTGTATCTTCTCTCTCTCTCTCTCTCTCTCTCTCTCTCTTGTTGTACCATGTTAGTATGGATGGTTTTTAGCATGGTTGGTGCATACGCACGCACGTATTACCAGCAAGTTGTTTCACACAATGCCGCATTTACAATACCATCGACCCAAATCCATCGGTTCGATTTACAAATCCGCGAGCAACCATTATCGGAGCTTAAAAGAGAGCTCGTTCGTTCGTTCGTTCATTCGTTCGCGTATCGCTTGCTTCCTTGCAATTGCTTTTCCGCTCGGGGATTTTACTTTACATCGTTTCAAATCTTCTTGATATATTCTTCAAACAGGATTAATCAAAATGGGGAGTAATATCGCGAAATCGAATGGTTAACCGAATCGTGAGAACTGATACGCGTTAAAAACGATTGCTTTTACGGTCAGCGTATATTACATACTCGTTACAATGAGTTAGTCAATGGTAAATAACGCATAAATTGCATTTCCATTCATTTAATACGAATTTATAGATTGTATTTGCAAAATCGAGTTCTGTAAGGTCGATGCGAAATTCCCAAGGCTCTATGAAATATCGAATTATAGCCGAGTTTGCCCCCGTCTGTTACTACTCCCCTTTCCATTCTCCACTCTCCTCCCCGAGCCACCATTCTCCTAAACATATAACGCGAAACCGCGAATTTTCGAGTTACCCGAAAACTCTTCCCTTATTGGCGTAATTAATTTCAAAGACGCGAACAATGGTAGGAGTATAGCAAAATGTTAGGGCAATAGCATTACTAAAATCTTGGAAGACTAGTAGGAGGGACGAAAATTATCTCGCGGTGTGTGGGTATGTAGAAATATATGAAATTAGGATATTCGATATTCATCTGTCTCTTTTTCTTCTTCTTCTTCATCTTTGTCATTTGTTGAAACTTTAAACGATTTCGGGGAAACTTCTGTTCCGCATGGTCGATTCGTATTCCGTAAGATGAAAGGGACAGGTTTCAATCCTCCGATGGAAACGGCTGCCATCGACTGGAATTGACTCGGTCGAGAGAGTCGAGCGAGAAACGAACTAGAAGCAAACTAGAAGCGAACGAGCAAGCGCGCACGTGCGTGCTACGTTATCCTATGTGCCATCCTATTTGCCATCCTATGTGCCATCCTATGTGCCATCCTATGTGCCATCCTATGTGCCATCCTATGTGCCATCCTCTATAGCATCAATCACCAGTTTCTCTCCCCCTCTCGTGGATCATTGCCGAATCGTAGTTAGAAAGAACGTTGGCTACGCGTGACGAAAATCTCATTTTTCTTCTAGTCCCTTAGCTCTCCAAACTTTCATTTCCATTGATGGGAATTTGTTGTTGTTGTTGTTGTTGCGTTGTGCATCTAACAAAAAGAAAAGGAAAGAAAGGGAAAAAGAACGCGGATGCTTTTAATTTCGGTAGAGCGAGCTTTCGGTTATACTACTAGTTTTTCGATTTTCAAGGAATTCGCAGTAAGCGCGCACGGCCAAGGATTAACGAAATTCGATAAATCGAAAAACTATCCCCCGTTTGTTTATCCAACTTTTTCAGCCCCTCTTTCCGAACCACTTGACCGAACAGACGGAACCAACGTTTTCAAGGGAAGGAAGAAACGTGAAGCGAGGCATCTTCGGTTAAAGATTAAGTTTACATCTTTAGCGTTTAGTTTCCGAAGGAAAAGAAGAAAGAGAGAAGTGGAGTTGTGGTAACTATAGACTCCGGGGGAAAGATGGGTGGGATTTATCCAAGCGAAATCAGGACGAA